CTTGTGTTCACTGAACTATTAGCGCGCACTGTATCGTAGTACGTAGGCTGCGTATCCGACACGTATTAAAATACAAAATATGAAAACCTGTCCCGATTTTTCAGCGCACACGACACAGTTCCAGGGTCATTTGGCGTACCAATTGGCGGCACGCCACGTACCACTGCCGGTACGCGTACCACAGTTTGAGAACCACTGGCCTATTGGTACACCAGACATTGATGTATTATATTTGAAACAGCCAAAGAGGAACATGTTAATTGGTTTATTCTGAATTAATATTGGCCTTGTTAAAATGACATTTGAATATCCTTTGCATCACTTTCTTTTGGCATGGGTTTTACGTCTTTTTGCCTTTGGACGGCATGCAATTCCACAGTTCAGATTAGGTGGTTTATTTCAGGTTCATGGCAGATTTGCAAAGTCCAGAGAAGTGACATTTTAAAAAAGCCACATACGCATAGAATCCTAATGTGACTCTTCCTTTTCTTTATACACCTTTATAAAACAATACTGCTAGGAGACTCAAGTTACAGTAGACTCATAGAAGGAACAGTTGATATTTTATGCACTGCACAGAATGGCATTTGACTACTTTATCTCTATCAGAACAGAAGCATATTCAACCTCTTTTTGCCACAATATTGACAAAAGAACATTCTTTAACTAGAAATTATGAGATTCTGGGAAATAAGCCAGAAAGATAATTACTCTATGTGCCTTATATGCGTATCTTTATGTATAAATGCTGTAGAGCTTCAGGGTCATCAGAGTGACCTGTATTAAAACATTCTCCTTACAAAAATTAAGAAGCACTCTGCCTATTTTCCTATTTGAAGCCATGATCTTTAAACATATAAACTTCAGTAATTGAGCTTGAATGGTTTCGGTTTCAGTTTTTCATACAGGAAATGTTACACTGTCTAAAAATAAAGCACTTATGACAACTATTTTTAAAAACATTTTCTCAGTTTCAAACATAAACCTCCTAGAAAATGTGACAT